GGGTCCTGGACAGGAGATGGAATCGATAATTCCTGCTCTGGTGCCAGTACATTCCAGGTGAATCCAGACCTGAATGTTAGAAATGTTAAAAATCTACAACTGTAAGAAATTACAACAATGTGCATAGTGATGTGCATTGCTTTAAGCCATGGTGGAAATCCATGTGAGAAATTAGCATTGCTTCCTCCATAAAAGTGACAACTTGAGTGTATCCGGTATAATATAAGTAAAGGCAGAAGAGGGAGAAGCTGGAAGATAAACCTGCAGTAAACGTGCTGAGGGCGACTCTCCTCGACGCACCTGTACGTGCAGGTGCACGTGTAATTATGCACGCACGTTCTCGCTCAGGTGGGAGAAAAACAGACTCAACCAGATACACCGACACAGACGGGAACCACTTACGAACAGCCAGAACACATACCTGGAAAATTATTCTAGTTCGCTAGTCATCAAGGAGTGAAGATAGAGCCACAACAAAAGACTGCGTTTTTTTCTCTCCAATGAACGAAGTTTTGAGATCTCTACGGTCCGAGCCGGCCACTAACAGGACAGCGCCCTGCCAGGGTGCGAGAGGGGATTAGACAGCGGTAGGTCTGTGCAAGTCTGTCCGCGGAGCGCCGGGCGTCCCGCATGAACACGTCTGTGGTCCAGGAGTTTCTGATCACCACAGAGAACTCTGCTGGTGTGCTCCTACCAACAGTTCATCAGAACTCCACCCTTGTTGATACGGCTGCATTCTTAAAAGATGGGAAGGAGATATACTGATACTTTCAAAATGTTTACCTTTGGGTAAGGAAATGTGGGTGGATTTTTGTCATCTTTTATTTTATACTCCTAAATTTCCCCTTTTATCTACAAATAAGAATCTATACAACTTTATAGGTAGAAGAGAGTAGAATCAGTGCTTTCTGTCTAGGTTAGTCCTTCAGGGGCCAATGAGTGACTGTGCTGCAGGGTCTTCATCACCGATATGGCTGCACGGGTCGGGGAGGGGACAACTCCCACGTGGTGTGGGCAGCAGGGGGTGGGCCCGGGGCAAGTGGCCTGGGGGGTCCAGGAGCAGTGAGGGCCTCTGCTCCCAGCTTTCTGGGTTGAGCATGGAGTACATAGTGGGCCAAGCTCGGGAAGGCTGGAGGTGGAGGGTGCAGACTATTAGCGTCAGAGTCCACGGGCGGAGATGAGGCAGCTGGTCAGGTATGAAGAAAGAAGAGTGCAGGGCCGGCCCTGTGGCTTGGTGGTTAAGTGCGCGCGCTGCGATGCTGGCGGCCCGGGTTCGGATCCCGGGTGCGCATCGAGGCACCACTTCTCCGTTCATCCTGAGGCCGAGTCCCACATACAGCAACTAGAAGGATGTGCAGCTACGACAAACAACTATCCACTGGAGCTTTGGGGGGGAAAAAATAAAATAAATAAAATCTTTAAAAAAAAAAAAAAAAAAAAAAAAAAAAAAAAAAAAAAAAAAAAAAAAAAAGAAAGAAGAGTGCAGACAGGCCCCTGAAGAGGGTTGAATGGCGGCCCCAAAAGACACGTCCACCTGGAACCTGTGACTGTGCACTTATTTGGAAACAGGGTCTTCGCAGATGTAGTTAAGTTAAGGATCTGCAGATGAGATCATCCCGGGCCTGGCTGGGCCCTGAATCCAGTGACGAGAGAGGAGAGAGAGATTTGAGGCAGAGAGAAGGCTGTGGGACAACAGAGGCGGAGACGGGCGACGCGGCCAGAAGCCAAGGAGCACCAAGGATGGCCTGCGGTCCCAGAGGCTGGGGAGAGGCACGGAGCAGATTCTCCAGAAGGAGCCAACTCTGCCGACACCTTAGCCTCGTTCTTCTGGGCTCGAGACTGTGGGAGGATGAACTAATGTTTTCAGCCCCCAAGCCTGTGGTCCTTTGTGACGGCCGCCCCAGGGAACTAACGTGGAGTGGTCGGGTAGAAGGTGTCTCACCTCCTTACTATCGGACCCGATGGACACGTGTGTGTGGGTGTGGCATGGCCGTGAGAGCCTGAGGAGCCCCGAGTCATGTTGTCCCTGCAGGGTCCCGCTTGGTGACTGGCCACACTCACTCAGGAGCAAGGACACAGGGTGCCGGGTGGAAAGCAGTGCCCGAGAGGCTGTGACCCGATCACACAGGAGGTGGATGAGCTCAGGGCGGGCTTCTGAGAGGAGGCAGCCACAGCCTGACCGAGAGACGCAGGGGCTTCGGAGGGAGGAAAGGGAGTTGCAGAGCAGTGAGTTGCCTGCCTGGGGCAGAGGCCCCCTCTGTAAGGGGAGGCTGAGTGCAGGGGGATCCTGGAAGCTGGGAAGGGACCTGGATCAGACACAGGAGGAGTCGGGAGCCCAGGCAGCTCCTAAGCGGGGGAGGCGCAGTGTCAGCGCGGAGGGTGGAGGCACGCAAGGCGGCTGGGAGTGGGGAGCGATCTGCAGCGTGAATCGTGGGGGAACGTGTTATTTTAGGACCTGCCTCATTGTTCCTTTCCAGAAAGCGCAGAGACACAGTTGCTAAAGAACCTGATGGAGGAGCGGCCCCCGGAACAGTCTCAGGGAACAGAGTGAATCTTGATAATTAAAACGATACATTTTTCTTGCAAGCAGATGCCGCCGAATAACAAATGTATGTGGTTTAATCTTTGGATTTCTACAGGTTTCAGACACCCCCCTGCCATCTTGTCTGTTCGTGTCCTCAAGGAACCACCTTCGGCAAGATTCCCCACAGGCCGGCCCTGCAGGCTCTGCATGGGTCTCCCTGAATCCCTGCTGCCCGGGGTCAGGGTGAGGTTTGGCTGATGAACTGCCCAGGGCAGTCGGTGACCTTCCTCATCGTCCCTGTCACACCCTCCTCCACTGCCCAAGACTGCAGTGGCGGGACACAGAGGTGCCGTCCTGGATGAGGCTGCACTGGCCCCTGTCCCTGCTTCCTAGGACCTGGCAGGAGGCACAGGCCTGCCAAGAGGGGGGGCATCCGCCAGCCTGGAGCCTCAATGCAGTCCGTCCAGTCTCACCTCGGGCACAGGGGACCAATGGACCCCAACCTGTCCCTGGGGCTGGGGCAGAGCTCCCCGGACCCTCCCTGGGCTCTGTGCCCACTGGGCACTCTGGAGCGACATCCTCGGCTCCGGTCCTGGCTCTGCTCCACACTGCTGGGTGGCCCTGGGCCTATAGTGCCTAATTCCAGGTAATCCACCCCCACCAGCGTGGGGCCCCCGCCATGCGCCGGGCTCAGCAAATAGCTCAGGATGAGATGGCACAGTCCAGCCGGGGCCTCAGGGAGACCCGAGGTTCTCAAACATTGCTCCTTGGAAGCCCGTGCCTGCCACCGCATCCCAGGGACCACCGGCTTCGAGGAGGGGAGGCCAAGCCACGTTCCCATCCAGCAGGGCAGCTCCTCGTCCTGGCTCCTGGCCTGGCATCTGGGAGCTGCAGGTGGAGAACGGGGTCCCTGCCGTGGAGTTAAGTGCACCTCGCGGGCCCCTCCCGTCGGGCTGTGCCAGAAGCTGCAGCGCAGCCACCCCTGGGAGAGGCCTCGTGTGTCCTGGGGGTGGCTCGCCGGGTCCAACAGGGGTCCAAACTCTCCTGACCCGGGCACTAGAGGACTAGAGAGAGGAAGACCGGGGAAGGCGAGAACAATCCCGCACGGTGTGGGGCCCTCCAGACAGCTGGCTCCACGACGCCTGCTGGACCACGGGCAGGGGGACTCCAGGTGGTGCTATCGGGGTGGCTCCTCTGCAGAGGGGAGGTGGGGGTGAAAACTCGGGGGTCCAGGGAGAGGGTCCGGTGAGTGAGGATAGCAGTGCACAGCCTGGTGCGGCCAGGAATTGGGAGAAGGCTGAGCAGCCCCAGTGCAGGGTGCCGTCAGCGTGGAGACAGGGGCTTGGGATGCAGGCAGGATCTGATGGGAGTGTGGTGGGGGGAGCCACAGGCAGTGGGGACAGGGCTGGGGGCCTCAGGCAGCATGGGGTGATGGGGACCAACCAGGAGACAGGAGGAGCAGCTGCGGGAGAGACAGCAGGTAAGGGGGCTCAGCTGGGATTTCTGTGGCCCCCGGGCCCCCCACCAAGGACAGGCCCCCCCAGCCCATCTGGGGTCCCTCCCGGGCCATCACGCCATGCTGTGTCCCATCTCTGCCACATGTGTAGGGAGTCCCCCGTGATGCCCTCCTCTCCCCACACAGCTGGGCCCCTGCAGGGAGACTGCACAGGGTAGGGGAGCCCCTGAGCACCTGGCCTGGGACCCCCGGCATCCCTGCCTTGGACCGGGGCCACACCAGGGGACGAGAGAGCCAGCGGCCCAGCAGGGACATGGGCAGAGGCCACTGGACACAGGGTCCTTCAGGGTGAGGCTGTGGTGGTCTGTGGAAACCACATCCCAGCTTTTCTGTTTCCAACAGTTTAAAGGTGGTATTTGGACCATCATTTCACACTTCCAGGCTGTGAGCTGGAGCGCTCTGTTGCATTTCCTGGGATGCTGGATGGGGATGCTGGGGGCCTCATCAATCAGGGACATGCATGCCACCCCAGCTGTGCGGCCTCTCAGGGGCTCCACGGGTGTTGGACACACACACATCCATCACTTCTCACTGTGCGATTACACAGCACCTGCTGTATGCTAAGAAACATTAGGGAAACAGGAGGATGGGACCCAGACCCAGACCCCTGGCCAGCATGGGGGGACACACAGCTCACACCTGTGGCTGCCAGTGTTTGGGGCGTGTGCCCTCCTGTCCTGCCCAAGTGGGTTCCCACCCGGACACAGGGAGGGCAGGTGTTTCCAGGAGCCGCCCTCTGTGGCAGGCGTAGCTCTCCCTCCAGGGTTCAGGCCTGGAATCTAGTTTTATGTCCTGGAGAGGGTCTGCTGGCCGGAATCAGGGGAGGAACCAGAAGGAGCATCTATGAAAGGCACTGTCCCCTGAGGCCAGCCTTGTGGATGTTCCCTGGGTTCATCCCATTCCAGAGGAGGACCCTTCATGTCTGCGGAGACTGACTGCTCTCTTCTCTTTGCTCCTCAGGTCTCCTGACAAACGCAGCCCCAGAGGGGCCCCGGGAATGGCTTTGGCTCCCTGGAGAGCCCACACCTCGGCCACGGTCCTCAGTTGGCCACAGACGCCACCCATTCTCCGCCATCCGCCCGCCCTCCGTCTCTCTGCGGCCCGTCCAGGACAGCCCGCCTCCTCGGCATCCTGAGCTGAGTCTGTCCGGCTGCACCGAGGAGTCCAGCCTCGAACACGGTGGGGGCTGCGCCAGGCGTCGGGGAGCCTGGCCGCTCCGCGGAGGAGGAGGACGGCGCCCGGCCCAGGGGAGGACTGACTCTCGGGCGCAGAAGTGGCCTCTCCTTGTGCCCCAGACTGTCCGAATCGCTTTTATTTTCTTATCCTTTCAGTATACTCGATAGACCAAAGAGCAAAATCTATTTTAACGCGGACTCGCCCTCACCGTCAGAGTCCCGGGTTCGAGTGGGGGGCACCGGGGCAGAGACATGCCGGTGGCCCCGGCAGGGCGGAGAGGGCGGCCCCGGCAGAGGCCTCCGCCCCACGAACACTGCGATGCCCTCTGAGGGGCCGAGCCAGCCGGAGGACCCCGAGGCAGCCCCGAGGGACGCGCGGCAATGTCCCCGCGCAGACCCCTCGAGCGCGCCTGCCGGACACGGACGGCCGCGCGCACCCCGCTCCTCTGTACTTAGGTGGACTCGATCGTACTAAAATCACTTTCTGTTTTAACCAGTTAGACATGCCTCTCTACAGCTCCATTTCGATGGTGGGATAATCCAGTATTCGCCAAGAGCATGTTGGGTCTCCCGTGACTGCTGTCTCATTCGATACACCATTTAGCTCCAGAAAGCAAATTAAAGGAAACGAAAGTAACACTTGTTTGAAAGAGATCATTAAATGTATTTTGCAAAGCCTAAAGTTATATATTTAACAGTTTTTATATGTTGTATATTTGTAGAAAATCCTATTTAACAATTAATGTGGCAGCCCTGGCCGTCCTGAGAGGTGGCGGAGTCCGGTGTCCCTGGAGGCTCTGGGTGGGCGCGGGGAACCGGGCCGGGGGCAGGACGCTGGGGGCAGTGAGCTGGCGTCACGACGTGTCGGCCGGCGAGGGGAAGGCCGTTTCTTTTTGCTGGTTTGGGTTTGGTGGTCCCTCCCCTCGGCCTCTGTCTTGGTCCACACCGAGTGTACAGTACTTGGATCAGCCTCTTCTTTCCGGTGGGTTGCCCCCTTTTTCTTACCCCTCGCACACCCTTCGATCTTGAGGGCAGTTTGCAGCCGATGTCTTCTCCCTGGGCGGAAGTCCCGCTCATTCTCGGTCTTCGGGGTGGGAAGGTTGAGACAATGGGGGACAGGCACGGGAGGGCAGACCCCTCCCAGCAACTCAGCGTCACCGGCCCAGTGAATAAGGGACAGTTATGTTTTTCCTTCCTCTGGCCAGATTCCTTCATTTTCCTGAGGTTCCGCTGAAGTATACTACCTAAGAGTCCAATTAACAGGAGTATTATGCTAGTTCTGTGCTACTAAAAAAAAGAAAAAGTAAAAAAAATATATATATATAGAAGCTGTTCCAGCAACGCATAGCCTAAAGATAGGAGAGAAAACCATTTATTTAAGACCCGTTCCAATGTCCGTGAGTATTTAATTTACCTTTCAGTCACCGCAAATTTAGAGGTATGTGGATCCTGGAGAAGGAGAAACGGCTGGGTTTTGGGTTTTCATCACGGAGGAGACGGGTCTGGACAGGGTGCTGTCCGACCGGGCCTGCCCTGGCTGCATGGCCTGATCTCACCCCGGGAGCCAGCGGGAGGCCCTGGGAGGGTCACCCCGCCCAGCACACTTCCGCCCTGCCCCGCCAGCGTCATCCCCACCACTCTCTCTCGCCTGTTTCTTTTGACAGCGAGTGTTGACACCTTCGAGGGCAGATACCGGGAGATTTAATATGTTACAGCATTTTTTTTCTTGTTTTACAGTATTCGATTTTGTGTTGATTCAGCTAAATTATGAAAATAAAGAAAAAATCCTTTGATAAGCATGGCTTTTGTTCGCTGGCCGTGGTGTCCTGGGAGAGGGGCTATAGCAGGCATGGCTGGCGGGGACAGCAGGTGGGAAGGAGCTTAGAGCACACGTGGTGACAGGGACGTTCTTCCCGGGCGCTGGGCCCGCCGTGATGGTGCACAGTCCAAGAGCCCTCTAGGTTCTCCTGGACCACAAGGACGCTCCCTGAAGCCCAGCCCGGGCGAGTGGACAGCGCCTGGCCCGTAACTACTCAGGGCCGCCCATCACTCTCTATGAATACCCGCTCCACAGCAGAGGTTGAGTCCTGGTCCCTCCTCTGGTCAATGTGGGGCCACTGGAGATGCAAAAAGCACCTGTTCTACTTCATTTCTCCCCTGGAGCCAAATGCTCCCCTGTTCGGCCAGTGGTAAGGCTGAGGGCCACATGCATTCGCCTCTGCCCAGGCCCTGTGAGCCAGGCCCCGCACACGGCCCAGGACAGAGGAGCAGACCCGCTCAGGGGCTCCCAAAGGAGACCACATCTGAAGGAGCCCCCTCTCCAGGGTAATCCAGTCGGCTCTCCAGAGAGTGGTCTTTGGCATTCAGATCATTTCTGCCGCCCAGAGTCCACTGCCACAGGCGGCACCCAGATGCAGGGAAGTGACGCCTGTCAGTTTCCAGCTGCTCTTTATAAAGCGTGACCCTGGGAGCTGTGACCCAGTGGGTGGGCCGTCCAAAGTCCGTGCTTGATTTAAGGAGACTTCACTGGCTTTCGGAGCCTTTACAGTGGGTAGATGAGACCCCTGCTCTCTGGAACAGAGCCAGGCTTGTCCTGGAAGGGAGGGGAAGGGGCAGCACGCAGGCGCAGCAGCTGCCACAGGGACGCCCAGGTGGGCCCTTCCCCTCCCAGGTGGGGGCCCAGGTAGCCGTGCCATTCCGGGCCCTCCCTCAGGGCTCCCCTTGGGGAGCAGCTTTTGGGCTCTGCAGTCAGGGCACAAACAGGGCAGGGCAGTGGCCAGGACATGGGCCCACTCATTCCTCCTTCCTCTGTCCATACTGAGAAAGGACAAGCTGGAAGGGGTGGGAGGTGTTAGCGTGCAGGGAAGAAGAGCAGCCCAAGAGGCTGTCTGCACAGTCTGCGTGGGCCCCAGCTTCACTATCCCGGGGTCTTCTGGGCATATCGGAGGGAAAAACACAAACCACGAAGCTAGAGAAAAAGATAAAGAGCTTCATGACCACCAAGGCTGGTAGAAAGAATGATCGCCTCCACCCAGAGCCAGAGGTGTACCAGTCAGGATGGGTTGGGTCATGCTGTGTGACAAGCAGCCCCGCCTCTCAGAGGCTGACCTTCCCATGAACATGATCTCACCTCGTGCCACAGACCAGTACACCTGGCTGGGACAAGGCTCCAGGAGGCTTCCCCCATCTCAGAGATCGGGGGAGACACTTGGAGAATCAAGGCTTCCACACGGAAGTGGCACCTGTCTCCTCTGCTCCCACTCACTGATTCTGTCCTCTGCTGATTTGAGCTGTCTGGCCTTGGTTTTCTTACCCACGGAAGGGACAGGCCTCTCTGCTGCCCACTCCCAGGCTGGGGCAAGAGCCCTTTGTAGGCGCGAACACTCGCAAGCAAGATGAGATGTGCGAGCTCCACCTTACTGCTGGGGGGACGGTCCCGCATTGTCCGCACGGGGGAGTGCTCCTTCCGTGGTGCTCTGTCTAGGCCGAGCCGTGAGCTGAGGCTGAGAGGCCCATGGACACTGCCCCAGGAAGGAACTACATCAGCGAGGGCAGGCAGAGGCCACGCTCCCTCTGGATGCAGCCTGGGCCTGGGCAGAGGCTGCCCTACCATGTAACGGGAGGGAGAGTCCCGGTGTTGGTCCTGTGTCTGCTGTGTGGTGTAGGCGAGTCGTGCTTCCTCTCTGTGCCTCAACTTCCCCACTGGGGAAGAGAGAGAATTGTGTCCATCTCACGAGGTTTTTCTGAAGATCAGGGAGATGCAGAACGGGGCGTGCCTGGGTCAGGGAGGTTTGTGAGAATAGCAGGAGGGCTCAGCATTATGCCTTACGGGCAATTCTGCGCCCTAGTGCTCGCCAGCCGGTGCTGCTCCATGTCACAGAACCGAGTCCTGCGGCCACTGTCTGGGTCTGAGTCCTCGCTCTGCCTCTCACGAGGTGCAGACGTGAGCCTGGGCTGCGGGAGACGGGGTCCTGTGAGCATCCACCCGCGGGTGAGGAGAAGCTCCGGGTCCAGAGCAGGCTCCGCGGGCCGTTCCCTTGTCCTCGTCGTTGGTACAGCCATCAGGTCTGTGGCTAGGCCGGGACCGGCCAGTCCAGGCTGTAGATGAGCTCAGCCTCCCAGGGGTGGGGTGTGTGTACATGGCATGTGTGGTGCAGTGTGTGCACGTGTGTACATGTATGTGCACGTGCGTGTGTGTGTGTGCGCTCATTTCACGGTTACCCTCACATGCTGAGCACTTTCTAAGTCAGGGTCCAGGAGGAGCCCCACACGATTCCTGACCTCAAGGTGCTCCAAGGTCAAGGAGCGTCCGGGGGGCGGCTGAGATGGGCTGACCCTGGTGCCCCACAGTCACAACCCCAGGCTATCCTGGCAGAGGTTGCCAGCCTGCCAGTCACCTCCCCTTCGGCCCTGAGTTGCTGAGTCCTCTCCTGCTGAGTGTCCCGGATGCCACAATACTCCATCACCTTGGCATTCGGGAGGTGACCACTTTGCTGTCCCTGCCCTGAGCTGACCGTCACCCTGAGAAGCTGGCACCCACGGGAAGCATGCTTCTCTTGAAACCCCCTTGTGGAATGGAGGATCTGGAGGGAAGTTCCTGAAGATTCCGGGGTTCTCGGCTCAGCGGGAAGAGGTGGGGGCCTCTGCACATCACTCCCCAGACTGGACCTTGGGTCAGCGTGTCCTGACAATCTAAGCTGATGGTGGGTACCATGCCCCCAGTAGCACCAATGACCAGGGCCCTATGTGGCTGACAAGAGGACCCACTTAGGGGCTGAGAAAGATCCTACGGCCACTGCCGTGGCTCTCTTAGTGGGCCTGGGTCAGCCTGGCCCAGGGAGAGGGAGTGTTGGGGTGCAGGAGAGACTACTGGCCACTTTGGCAGAGAAGCCAGAGGAGATGAGCACAGGTAGGGGAGTGGAGTCAGAGCGGAGAGGGGCGATGGGTGCCGTGCCGGCCAGGTGGAGAAGCAGGGCTGGGATGGGCTGCTCAGCACGGGATCCAGGACCTCAGGACGGCTGGGGACAGCAGCCCGCCCTCCCCATGCACTTGAGTCCTGAAGTCCCCATTTTGGGCCACCTGTCCCCCGTTTGTCCACCCGGCACTCCCCATCCGCCTCAACCTGCCTTGCTAAAATGAAAGTTCATGAGGGCACCCGTTCTCAGGGGTGGCCCTCTCCCAGCCCCCAAGGGCTGCCTTCCACATGGAGACGGGACACACTGTAAGACTGTTTCCAGACACCCAGGTGCCCACCACGTGCTGGCCCTTTGCCGTTGCTGCGTTTGCTGGGGGGGTGTCCACACTGCCCTGGGATCCCAGGGAGCTCCCTGGGTCTGTGTCCAGAGTATCCTCCTGTCTCTTTTTTTTTTTAACTGTTTTTTTTTTGTGTGTGAGGAAGATTAGCCCTGAGCTAACATCTATTGCCAATCCTCCTCCTTTTTTTTTCCCCCCCAAAGCCCCAGTAGATAGTTGTATGTCATAGTTGCACATCCTTCCAGCTGCTGTATGTGGGACGCAGCCCCAGCATGGCCAGAGAAGCGGTGCGTCAGTGCGTGCCCAGGATCCTAACCCAGCCGCCAGTAGCCGAGTGCGTGCACTTAACTACTAAGCCACGGGGCTGGCCCCCTCCTGTCTCTTATTCACCCCCTCCCCCTAGGCCTCAAATGCAGGGTCTGATCTCCCAGGG